GAAAAAAAAAACCTTCCTCCACATAAAAGTCACTTACATGTGAGTAGATGCAGAATGACCTATCCTCTGCTTAGACTGAGGAAAAAAAAAAACCTTCCTCCATATAAAAGTCACTTACTACATGTGAGTAGATGCACAATGGCCTATCCTCTGCTTAGACTGAGGAAGTCCTTTATCCTCCATCTATTGATTTTCCATACTGGTTTTATGGATGCTGCCAACTTTGTCCCTGAGCTTTTTGGAGTGGGTAATTCTGTGGAGCTAGTTGCGATGGTAATTAAACAAAAATAACGGTGCCTGTTTTATCACTTACATCAGCACAAGTTAGAAAGAGAATCACTTTTTCTTTCATATTGCTAATGTAAATTCAACCAATGCTCTCATTTCACATTAAAGAAAAAGACACAAGGCCCAGCAAACACCATAACATCTCTATTAATACAAATTAGCATTGGTTCTGAGCTTAACTTACTCCATTTGAGATGATTAGATATAATTGCAGAACAATTAAGGATTGACTGACATGCACCAGATGGAATAAATTTGATTTCACAAGTAGCCAGTATAAAGTTCACATAATTAACTCTCATTCTGACATACAACATTTTGTTTGGAAAAAAGCACTAGGTTTCCAGTCTCTCAGCATTTTAATAAGTGAATGATCAGTCCATTTTTTACTTAGATGGAAGAAATCATTACTTTTGTCAGATAATTCTATCCTCCAACTACAGATCCATATAATAATTTGGCCTACAATTCTGTCTCCAGCTTATTAAAGCTGGATGGGAGCCCTACAAACTTTGATCATCCATTGACCAAAGTAAACAGTACTAGGAAAAACACATGAAAAAATATTGTTTTATTAAATGACATAAGCAAAACTTCCTTTGGCTCCAGGAGAAAGGCTAATGAAGCCAGTGCCACAGGCACTCAGAGAGCTCACATTCACTCAATATGTAAACCTAAGGACAAGATAACAAACATAAGCTGTTTAGAAGTAGCTTCCTACTGTATATATGAGTGTGTGTCAGGCAAATCCTTGGCCAAAAAATTAGAAGTGTCAGTTGAAACAGGGCTCAATTTGAGAGTAAAACTTAAATTCAGAATGAGGAACGGTTCACAGCAAAGAAGCATGTCATGGGAAAGACATGCAGGACAAGCAGAAATATCCTAGAAAAAGAAAAGAGCTCATCAATGTTTCCCAGCTGCTTAGGTAAGGCATATGAAGCAACAGGAAAGGTGTACACAATACAACAATGCTGCTACACATTTACCAAATAAAGGTTTTAACACATGGAAAGAAATGCCAGCAACTCAAATACAAAAGCAGTAGAAAAAAGGTCTATCAAAAAAAAATTTGGATTAAAAAATGATAAATACAAATGAATACAGCTATTTTCATATTGGATCTGAAATACCTGAGGGATGTAACAACAGAATTAATAACTGTGCATTCTAAACAGATGAAGACTCCTTCGTACAGGAGTCCATAACACTATGTATTGCTGCAGATGGAGGGCTGGCTTACACACATTAGAAATTATGTGTGTACATACAAAACTTCAGGAAAACAGTTTGTATTTTTGTCTAGATGCTTTAATGCCTATACTCTGGAATGTGTTGGAACTTCCTTAATTTCATTTCAAGACAGAATGAGATCAAAACAATTAATGAGCTTATGCATGGAAGTAGCAAGCTGTCATCCTGCAGTGAAGAATTAAAAGGTCATGTTATAATAACAGCTTTGTTTATCTCTTATGGAATGGTTAACACTAAAAATTATGTTTCCAATTTGAGAAAAGTAGTAATTGAAAAAAGACAGGCAAAATTCATTTATTTCATATGGGTAGTTTCACTGCTGCTAAAATCAGAAAAAATGAATACAAATAAAAAAGGTGTATATAGGTATATTTATTTTATTTCTAATCAAATACAATTTCTTTAGCCCTGAAAAAAGCATTACAATTTTATTTGTGCATCTGTAACATAAGTGAAGAAGGATCTTGACCTCTATGTTGTTTATAAGGCAGTTAAAGTGGAAACAGTTGCTCATTTGATTTCTACTGACAACAGCAGCTGTGGGAGAGCTGTGTTTATTTCCCTTTGGCACCCAAGATGACTTGAATCTATATCATCCTTTTCCCAGGAGACTGTCCTAATCACCATAGTGTAGTTATTGGAGGGTGCTTAGTTTATCAAGAAAATTATCATTGAAGGTAATTGAAGGGAAAATGTTTCAAACCTTCACAGTAAACAGGCCTATATTACCTATTTCCTTTTTATTCTCATTCAAATTTTTCATTACCTGCAGTGGAACTTCCTGGAAGAATTCAAACAGTGAATATTCAAAGGAGATCCTCCTCCCCACTTCAGAAATATCTGAGCAAAATTTTAGCAGTGGTAGGTTTTCACAATGACATTTCAAAAGTCTGTCTGCACTGTATGCATGGTCCATGGGAAGATATTGAATTAAAATTACCATTTATTATTGTACAAAGTTAGATTTTCAGAAGCATTCATGATTGAAGTCTTAATTAACTCATGGGACGTCAACCAAGAGCTAACTCATTCTGGTCAGAGCAAATGCAAACATGGAACTGCTTAAAAACAAACAAGCCAACAGAAATCAGTCACCTGCCAGACAGCATTACAATTTTCACTGATAGAATGTCAACAGAAGTTTAAAATTGTAATCAATCTGTATTCATTTCAGAGATATAGTTTCTTTTTCTTTCTTGAATGGAAAATGAGAACAATAGGAAGAAAAAAAAAGTGAATATTGCCTGCCAAGACTTCAATGCTGAATAAACAACCATACTTGGAAATCTTATTAACAGTGTTTGATTTCCCAGCCACACTAATGTGCTCTGATAACAGCACTTTTCTATCATGTCTGAAACACAGGAACATATTCATGGAGGAAATGATGAATTTTTTCAACTATCATATTGGATAATATATGGGTCCCAATTAAATTTGGTGTGACATATTAACCAAATAATAAATACCTAGTATTTTATATATATGGGGCAAAAAGTCTCTTGATGGACTCATCATATCTGGCAAAATTTTCAGAAAGACAAATAAATAGACCCAAAATACCATGATATACTGAAAAAGTTTCTTAATTATATCATTGCTAAGTTGGTTTCGATACTCATACCTTTGGAAAAATTTATACTAGAGCAGTTAACCTCCACAGTAGTAATTTTGTGTATATTACCTTGTTGAGAAACAATTTTTAAATGTAATTGTCTTGGAGTAAACAAGACAAAAGTTCCACAAAAATATTGAGATTAACCAAAGCATACCCTAATAAAAGGGAATTTTGTCAACTGCCAGATAGTGTTTTTGCTACTATTTCTCTGCATTGTGATTTGTCATGTTAAGTAAGAAGAGCAAAAAGTGAAACACAGAAGTGAAACTGGAAGATGAAGGATTTAAATTCAAACCTGCTGATTTATAAACCTCTTAACTCAGCATATGAGCAGAATCAATTGCAAACAAATTCAAGGGTCACACTAAAAGCTTTGCTTCACTTCCTAGGCCCTTAGATAAATATATTACTTACATATAAAATATAATAGTCACTACAAAAACAGACATGACCCAACTAAATAAAAGTATACAACCTCTTTGTATCATAAGAATGAACAATTATTTGGCTATTCATTGTGTCTATGTGTTGTTCTTCTCTTCATCTAATAGATTTTTAAGTCAGAACATACTATGAGTACCATTAATTTTGATCCTCTATGAAGTTTACTAATTTCTTTATCAAGTCTGTAACTTCTCATGAGCTATATAACTGAAGGAAAAATAAACTGTTGCAGCTTTTCATTATGAAATTTTATCACCAAAGGAACCTGTCACTGAAAGTTTACATTTAAATGGAATTTCTACTGAGTAAATTAAATCTTACTTCTTATTAAATTGGTTTCATCAGTTTTCTGTTTGCTGTCAACCAAAAGCTAGGAATCCTAGCTTAATCCCAGCAAGTACATAGTTCATAAATGTTCCACTCTGAACTGAGTGGAGTAAACAAAAATTCACAGGATGGGTCAGGTTGGAAGGGACAACAGTGGGTCATCTGGTCCAACCTCCCTGCACAAGCAGGGTCTTCCCAGAGCACATTGCACAGGACTGCATTCTCTAAAAGCATTGCATGAATTAACAGTGATGCGGTTCAAATCACTAAATCTGCAACCAGTAACAGTGACATTTATTCTGTTAATAATGCTGGGATCAGCATGTGCCATGGGCTTGTTGTGCCTGGAATCATTTAAATGTGTAAATGTGGTTAACCAAGATCTGCATCATCTGGAGGATAAAAACCAGCAGGTGTTGTGTGAAATTCCCTGCATACACAATACTGAGTGTAACCTATGCTAACCTAAGTGCTACCTTGAATGAGCACGCATCTCTTGATGTGCAATTCCAGCAAACATTTCTGCTCTAATCAGAGGACTGAATAAAGAATTAGTGACCTAAAACACTGTGTGTCATATAAAGGAAAGTTTTATTCAGATGTGACAAAAGTCACCTTTTGCCATTTGTTCTATTTTATAAAGAATTAACATTCTCACTGTGAGATCAATTTGCTCAGCAAGTTATCACATTAACCTTAGTCATTTTCTTTCAAAGCAGTCTTGGAAATTCACATTTTTTATATACTCTTGAAAATTCAACCAAAATGACACTGCCTGTTTTTCAACAATCAAAAAGGACCTCAAATTTACAACTGAATAGCTTCCCACCTCGGGATGGTACTTCAGAAGGCAGCTGTAATTCAGATTCATTGCATTCATGTACTTCAAACCTGTGGCTATTTACAAGCAGGGAGAAGTTCAAACATTACAGTTGTTGTTGGAGGGAAACTGAAGATCAAATTGTATGTTCAAACAACCACATTTTTCCTGTGTGTTTGCAGTTTTTTGAAATCTGAAAGTGCTGCAGTTGAGACACCCTCCCATAAATCTGAAGAAGGGTAAGTGACCTACCTTAGAAAGTCCGCCTACTTCCAAATAGAAGCAGATAATGAAAACATTCCAGGTGACCCACAGGGCAGTCCACACCGTGTACTAAACACAAAGCCAGATGACAGCAAAAAAGAGAGAAAAATAAAACGTTAAGATGAAACGACTTCATACTGAGCAGATCAATAATAAAAACCTGATATCAATAAGCATTGTTCTTCATGGAACAGCCAAGAACAGAGAGTTCAGAAAAGGAGCTCCCCCTGCAGAAGTCCCCTAAGAACCACCGGAAATTACAAATTCAATATTCATTGCTGTACTAAACAAATACCAATAAAACAGATTTATTCTTTACAGTTTTACACTGTCCTACTGATATCAATTAATTCTGACTGGTTTTGGGACACCTCTGAGTAATTTTTAAAACATAATTTAGCTCTCCTAAAGGAAATTTCAGATTAGCAAAACACTTTAAATAAGTAAATATTATTGAAACAATATTTAAATATTATGAAGAAAGGTACAAGAAAAAATCCCACCACCAAAAGACCCAGAAGGTCTATTGATCTGATAATTTAGATTTTTTTTCTTTTTAGGCAAATAGGTAAAGTGTAAATCTGATCTCTTGAGAGCCTTTCACAGTATAATGTACTTTATTACATTAAAATTAGCTACTAATTCTCCAAGCCTCTTGCCATGAATCTGGTCCTGGGTTCTCAAGCATCATACTGAACTCATACAGCACCCAGAGCATGAACGGGACATTAATTCATCTACTTCAAATCAACTTTTGCATTTTACCTGTCATCACAACAGACTGGCACCATTTCTTTATGGATGCACTGTTTCCTGACACACAACTGTGCCCTATTCCCAAGGAGCTCCCCAGGCACTCCACCTCAGGAGCATCTCACCCTAATGGGCCAAGTGTCCACGCAGCCACACTGGAGCTGCATCCACTGGAACAAATGCAGCAAGCAGGAGCACTGCCACTTCAAATTTACACACTTGGAGCCTTCACAGCAGAGAACTGCTGCTAAGAGCTTTGCAAGTCTACTTAGCTGTGGCCAGATAAGGATTAGCACCTATGGTTTTCTTCAATCATTAAAGCTCCCCATACTGAACTACAATGCATTGCACAGGTGCCATCAGTTTGGCTTTCTTGGGCAGTTTTGGGTTTTGTTCCCCTTTTAGATCCTCTCCCTGTCACGTACAATGAAAGTTCAGGTAAAGAGGATTGAACTTTTTCCCCTCCTTGATTACTCCCCCCTGAATAGGGCCATTTCTGTACATCAAAAAGGTCAACTGCTTTAATATAATTTCTTCTGAGGTATGTAGGTAGTTGGGCAATGGTCAAAAAAGTAGAACACTAAGAACCAAAACAAGAATAACACTCCTGGGCCCTTTCCTCTGTCTCATAGAGAAGGGCAGTGTGGCAGGTGAAGGCTGGAATATTATAAAATAGAGAAGCCTATTGTGGTCTGTGAGCAATATGAGGTATGTACTGTCCATATGACTAACCTAGAGTATATTACGTTTTATTACATTTGTTGACTTTGTAGTAACTTGATGCCATCATCCACTACTGATTTTCTAACATTTATATTCAGAACATTACGTGCAGAGAGTTCAAAATTAATGAACAACTAATACAATCCCAGTTGCATGTAAAAAGCAGAATTTAGACTATTTGGGAGTATACTCCTTTTTAAGAAATAATTTTTTATCTCTCTGTGAACTAAATCTGTCATCACAACAAAAGGAATTCTATTTGATCTTCCACTCCAAACCAAATCTGTTAATGGCCTCATTCTGTCCCATGGGCATCAATGCTGCATTGTGCAGGCAAAAACTGTCAGAGCCTGCTTCCCCAGGCCAGGCTATGCTGTTTTACACAGTTATGACCAGTTTGGCTCCTGCTGCACCATGAGGATTACTGAAAGAGAAGTGCGGGTGCAAAGCAGGTGTATACCTCGAAACCCAGATGCTGTGTATGGACAGGCTTTTCCTACACTCTCACTGATCTGCAGAGATCTACATTTGAGCTCCTTTTGCTCTGTAAACATAACAATTACATTATATTCAGTAATCAGTACTACCTAATTTTTTTTAAGTAGGAAAGTTATTGTCTTCTTGGATATTCAAGGAGCAAATTCCTTCCTTGCATAGTTTTCTAGGTATTTGAGGAAAGGTTATAAGAGAGCAAAGGCAAGAAAACAAAATTAGGAAATGTCATAATTTGGGTTGTGCAAGCAAACTTAATTTTTCTATTTTGTGGCTGTATTGTGGCAATACAATCCAAACATTAGTAAAATCATCATAGATATATTTTTATTTTAAAAGATCTTACCACCCCCAACACATTTTATGAACAGCTATCTCAATACTTCTTTTCTCCTTGTGGCTCAGACCCTGTTCTAAGGACAGAATATTAATTTCCTCATGAGGTTTACTAAGATGCTCATCGCTGTAATATGTGAGAGCTGCACAAACATTAACTAATTTATTTTATGTTATAAGGGAATGATACAGCTCTCAGAATACAAATGATGTTCTGATACATGCAGAGATTACATTCAGAAGTATTCATACATTATAAGCATCCAACTTGAGGTCCTTAAGAGTTCATTTTTCAGAATGCATGAGGTTATACACTCAGTTTATCAACTCAGTGTTCAGCTCCCTGTGGCTGAACGTGCAGCACTTGTGCAAATGTGACCACAGGGTCTCAAGACAAGAATCCAGAATGCAAGGGGAAAGCAAAGCATGTGACAGGTTTTGTTAAAGTCACTCACTTTGTGTCAAAATAGTTTTCAGTGGTTGAGAGCAGAGATAAAACTCAGCTACTCAGCACAGCCTTCACAGCAAAAACAATCCTTTTTTTCTTGATAGCATGTGTCTTATTCTTTCCATTGTCTTCTGTTTTCAGAAAATCAGGTTTCTATTCTACATCTGTGATCACCAGAAAACCCCCAAACGTCTATCCTCTCTACTGAAATTGAGGCAAAAATATAAGAATTAGTAGGGGTCTATCTAGTTCAAATCTGCAAATATATAAAAGAATGATAGTAAGACTGCACAGAAGGGCTTTAAAAGCAACTTTTCTAACATTGAGTGTTTCTTTATTTAAAAATTTTAATACTTTTTGGCATTATATGCATTGAGAAAATTTATATGTATATAGTTTTTAGTTAAAAAAAAACAAAAACAAAACCAAGCAATATTCCATTATGTGGCATCACACTAACACGTGCTTCAGTCAAGTTATACCTTAAGAAAAGTGTTACTTTTAGATCCATGATGCAGATTTCTTATTTTTGCTAGCAGAACAACAGTCCAAATTGCCATCCTCTGTCTGAAGGGACATGTCATGCATGCTGGCAATTTTCTCTCAGTGTGGGAATGGTCAAGGTCTGAGACATCAGGTCCACACTGACCCTCAGGTTTCACTTCTCTCCCAGGCACCTAACCTGTTTCATGATCTGACCTGCCATTTACCCTTTCTCACTCTGTGTCCTGAACATTATCCTGCCCATCCTGCTGGGTCTGCTCACTCTCACTTCCCCAGACCCAGCAATTCCTGCCTCGTCCTTTGGCCACCCACATTCCCAGCACCCCAGCTCAGCTGGCCTCATAGTCAGTGTCACAACCCTCACCACATTTAGCATGAAGAAGGAATTTTCCACACAGGCTGAATCAAAAATAAGAGTTTGTATTTTTATTTTATATCCCAAATGATGCACCACTTAAGAATCACATGGACATTTTTGTAACAGTTCTCTTCTAGAGGAAGGACCTAGGACCAGGTCATAATCCTTGCTTAATTCTCCCCATGATGCACTACATATTTTTCTTGCTCTTGGTATTTTGCACTTGTATGCACAGATTGTATACTGTGAGGTATGAGGAAGTATTTGAAGTCTTACCAATAAAGTAGAGGGACTACTCACTAAACCTTACAGGTTAAATAGCTAATAAATATCCCCTTTCATAATGTCAGCCTCTCTACAACAGTGAGATTTGACTCTACAACCTCTTGACTCTAGAATCTAATTTAAACCAATGCAGAGATACATTTCATATATCAGAGAAATACAAACATTTCTAGGTTAAAATAATTGCATTGGATGGACACAATGTCACAAGAACAACTGTTTAAGGAAAAGAAAAAATAGAATTTTCTACGTTTGAATATTACAAGGATTGTGGGATAAGTTTAGCTTTAATGAATAAACTATCTCGAGAGTATATTTAAATCTGAAGTGCAGCAACTACTGTGACAGTGTCATTCATGGCATTAGAGGGAATGAATGTTTGCTCGAGGATACTTCGAGGGAAAGGAGCAACCATTGAGTTGTGATATCATTCCCCTGTAATACCTGGCATCAGTACATTCAGAGCATTATTAGTCATATTTATGAAAGATGGCAAGGGAAGTGACATAAATCAGCACGATGGAGCAGTAATAACACAGGACTTACCAGGAAGGATAATCAACAAGTAATGTTGGAAACCTAAATATTTCACATGTGTTTTCACTGTCTGTATAACATTTGCTTGAATATGGAATAAAGTATCCTGAACAGCCTTTCTTTTGCTGTTCTGGTTTTTTATTTGTTTGGGTTTTTTTTTAAGAAACTCTTTCCTGGATTTTCAACAGTATCCATTGCCTATATATCATATTATTTAATGGAATACATTAAGGCAAGTAAAGCAGAGATATTCACAATAGATTCTCCCTATTTAAATGTATTATTTTCATCTTTCACTATTTATTAGCACTTTTTTTTCAGCTTTGAGACTAGCTTTTGCCATTTTAGCTATATGACTCATCATTCAGAAGCCTTTTGAAGTCCCATATCAGAAGCAGCAGAGGGAGAAGATCCACAGCTTTAACAAGTATCCTGTCGTCATCATTAATGAATTTTAACAGCCTGAAAATCTTGCTGGTGATAGCAAGATCTGTTTAAAAAGGAAAAGAATGAACAAGGAAACAGATCACAGCAGAGCTCAGGAACTTCATGACAAGAGTGCAACAACATAGTTAGAACTGAAAATCAGCTGTTTCTTTCTTCTTTGCAAATGTTTGGGTAAGTCTCAAATGAGCTAATGTGGGAAAATTAGGAATCAGCTCTGCACTTTTATGCCCCCTGGGAACTTTGCACAGATTTAATTCAGTCACAAAATATTCAAATACTGAAAATAGCACATCCGCTTAGTGACAGGACAAATTGTTCACAACATTCATCTAAACTACTAATTAATACAAAACCTATTAGAAATAATTATTGGATTTAAACTAATTAGGACACTTGGAGTCAATGTTGTCACTCTCTCTCTCTCTCTCTGTGTCCTAAGCTCTGAGGACTTGGTATTTTAACTATGAGCAAGTGAAATTCCAGATTTATTTCAGAATCACCACCCATATAGTCCTGTAGCTGAGGAACTGCATACAGTGAACATGAACCACTATCTTTAACTACTTGGAAAAGAATTCTATTCAACAGAGATGCCTCATGTATCAGCCACTGCATGGCAGTTCTTAGTGAGACTTTTTGTTTGGTAGAAAACTCTCACAACAAATTTTATATCACTCAAACTAATTTCTGTATTCAGACTATTGATTTGCAATGACTATACTTATGGTGCAGCTTATGTGGTCACTAAATCCTAGTGAAAAACTGGCCATACTGGGGTCAATGGCAGCGGAAGGGTCAAAAGCATGCAACTGCTATTTTTTTATCAGTTTCTATTGCAGCCCTCACTGAACTTCTTGGCTCTATGTACTGGCAACAAAAGCCTGCCCAATTGTGACTGCAGAAGCACTCTCTTATTTGACTGCAGTATAGATGTGCTTCAAACTACAGCCCTACATGTATTACATTTATTCACTTACTTTCCCATTCCTTATATTTTTCAGAATTTGAGTAGACTGAACATGACATACATAGCATAAGATGACAAAGTGAAAGCTTTTTTGTAACTTCACTTATCAGGGAAACCTTCAGGCACAGACTTCATTGCACAGAAGACAGATTTAAAAACATTCTCTTGAGGTTAAACAATGGCTCTAGAGTTGGTCAGCTGAAGTCAAGATCACCATCAGAGTATGACAGATTATCATAAGGACAATTTGTATGCACACATGCCAGATTAATTTTGTAGACACAGTTTACAGAAGTAAACCATTTTATCTGACATGATTCTCTCTTTACTTCAGTTTTTTAATACTGTGATAGGATCATCTGCATTAGTGAAGCTGATTTCCAGGGAAGTCTTCTGGAAAGGACAATTGATACTAAGCATAATTTTCTTGAAGCAATTAGTTACTTTTCCAGTTAAACTGGATTAAACTTAATCTAAATCAGAAAAGTACACAAAAGTACAGAAAAGCATGACTCAAAATACTTCTTCAGCCACAGACACAGTACCAAATTCTTGGGATGCTAACCACTAAAAAATACAAGGGTTTGGATGTGGTTGAAAGTGGACCTATGAACACGGAAGGCCATGAAGCTTCTCCATAAATTTGAAGCCTAATTCACTACTCAGAGCCTTGCTAAGAATCTCTCTACACTGTGTTTAATACTGAAATTCAGGACACTACTGAAGGTTTGCATTAAACAGACTTTAAAGAAAGCATTAAAAGTTTAGAGGTGGACTGTCACTTTTGCCTGAGTGAATACAGCCAGTATGCATCTGGCACTGGTAGGGGTCTTTACTGTCAGTGTCACTGACTCCTTCTGGGGCTTCTGGGGACAGTGGGTAAAGCTAAACTGTGGTTGGCACAGCCCTAGGAAGCCCAACTTCTGGGGAGCATGTGTTGATATAGACTGGAAGATCCTCAGGCTATGCTCCACAAGAACTTAAAGCTGGTGTAACCCTGCACTGCTGTGGAAAGACTCCATGCTCTTTTCTCCTTCCCCTGGCTAATTCTTCCCGTTTCCCCTCTCCCACCCCCTGGAACAAGCAAAGCACATCAAAGAGCTCAGCTACACTTAAATTAACACCAGTAAAGAAAATAGTTGCTTTTAACCTGGATCTGCTCTAGTTTGACAGTTTACCAAGTGGTCAAACTGTGCTGGTGCAAACAGAGGAACAGCACAGGGCCTGAAGGCAGCAGCTGAGCAAAGGGAGTTTTGCTTATGCTGGCTTGAGATATTCACTGAATTCAATCTGAGGGCAAGGCTAGGCATGAGGCTGAACTGACAAGTTTGGAGTTAGCAACAGAAGAAGTCCCGCAACTCCTCCTTTCCCCTCCACCTCCACATTGCTGTTCATAAACATGCAGTCCCAATTCCTGCCTTATGCCAACCTTGACAACCATTGGAACCTCACGGACTGGATTCAGGTCACCAGCTGTGCAAAAAAATCTACACTTTTTGCTAGGTTGGTTTTCTGACAGCTTAGAAATGGAACTGACTTACTGACAGATCCAGTTAACTGCTGCCAGAAGTGGGGGAGAGGATCTGGGGAAGTGCTCATCAGGGAACAGTGGGAGCAGGGAGACATGACAGCCACCCTATTCTGCTGGTGTTGAGTGTAAGGTCAGCTACAGACACCTCATGTTACAGACTCCCTTCAGACTTCAGGATTTGGCTCAGACTAATCCTACTGCACTGTAAACCCTACGTTAGACAGGATATAATCAGGGATTGCTCAGAGAGGTGGTGATAGGATGAAGAAGTGGGTAATCACAGAACATTCTGAGCTGGAAGGGACTCACAGGAATCATCAAGTCCAGCTCTTAACAGAATGGCCCACACAGGGATCAAATGTGTGACCTATGGCATTATTAGCACTGTACTCTGACCAGCTGGGCTCTAAAGCCTTGATCTTCCCCAGTAATGAGTACTGGCACCTGCTGTAGCTAGAGCTCCTAAATATATGCTTAAAGATCAATCAGAATATGAGTTCAGTTAAAGCAACACAAAGTACCTTGCTAGGGAAGTGTTTCTTTAATTATGAGTTTTCTACCTCTACTTTAAAACAACTTTTGTATAGCCCAAAATGTTCAATTACATTGGAAAAGATATAGAAACAGTCAACATCTGTTGCGTTTCATTTGAAAATTTAAACAGAGCTTGCATCATTGAACAGCAGTAATGAACCTGAGGGGCAAGAAATTTTGTAGTAGTGTTGCACTTCAGACATGAATTTCCCACATAATTTTACAGATGCTTACACACTCGCTTCTTATGTATAAAATGGAGAGCACGAAGCAGAAAGGTGAGTCATCAATTCATGGACACCCAGTTCTTCAACCACAGATAATAGATAAAAGAGCTATTTTTTATATCAATCCATTTTCAATTCATTATAGTCTGCTTGTAAGCTTAGCTAACATGAGTATAATCTTGGATGCACTTTTGTTCACTTTTTCTTTTAAGACACAACAAAGAGTTACAGGATTCCAGGCTTGACTAGAAAAGATGAAGCTTTTTAAGTATTTGTTTAATGAGTTTCCTCCAGCAGACATTTATTTCATTCCTTTGTGAGGAAAAAGATAACTTTAGCCTCTTAAAATCCATTACTGACAACACAACCAAAATGTTCCAAATACAGCCATTACCAGGTAAGGACATAATATTCTTATATTCAAAAATGAACGTGGGGGAGGAACAGAGATTTTTTTTTTTTCTGTTGGCAGTTTATTTCACAGCTTTGAAATTTCTTTTTATTCCTGGCTATATTGAGAGAATGGGAAAAAACAACTGAGAAGCTTCAATTTACAAGCATCAGAGAGAATTTACAATAATTTAGGGTCAAAGCCATAAATACAGGTCTTGACAAAATTACATGTAAGTGAGAAGGAGACTTCTTTGGAACACATGGGTCACAGGATCAAAGAAATTTCTACAGTTATTGCTCCTCTCTGCTTACAAGAAAGATGTAGTCAAATATAACTTAGCCATTGCAATTTTTTTTTTTTTTAATAATCATCATCAATTCTGCTTGTCTGTTACAAAAAGAAGAACAGTTTGTACTTTATTTATTTACATAGTCTAATTGACTTGTACCATATCGTAGTTTTGGTAGCACTTTCTCCAGTTTACTTGTTTTTGATAATGTCCAAAATCTCAAAAAAATTCACTTAGTAGTCCTACATTTGCAAAAAGACATGGAGACCTGTACAGTTGTTACAGAAATACCATCTGGTGTTTTGAAACCAAGAAAATTCTGCTTTGTAATATGACAGGTTTTATGGTAAGAAACAAAAAGAAATATAATAAATGAGACTTACCACGACTATATATCGAGGCCTAAACTGGATGGTTCCAAACAAACCCAAAATGACAACTATTATTTGTAGGAAATTGCCAAGGATAGGAGCCCACTGGAAACCCAGGAAGTCAAAGATTTGTCTCTCTAATGCTGCCAGCTGTAAGAAAACACACAAACAGAACATCCACTTTTTAATTATGGGTTGGAGAGAACACTTGATATTTTCTTATTTGCACCAGGCTTCACCAGCGAGAGCAAAGCCATGCAAACCATCACGGTCCCTCCCTTCCCCATGTCTTTGTTTACTAAGACTTACTCTCAACTAGACTCCCCAGGCTTCACCAGCGAGAGCAAAGCCATGCAAACCTTGCTATTGCTTCTGAAACACCATCACGGTCCCTCCCTTCCCCATTTCTTTGTTTACTAAGATTTACTCTCAACTAGACTCGACTGCAAGTTCCTCAGTCTGTTCCTAGAAGCTCAAAAGAGCAGAGCAAGCCCAGACAAGTCCCAGACATGGCCACTGTGATCCCAGGTGTTCCTTAATGCAGAAATTAAGGAAGACTGCTGGGAGCTCCTGAGCCACAGACATAGGCTCAGGGGTGAAAGGCAGTAGAAAATGTACAAGTCCCAGACATGGCCACTGTGATCCCAGGTGTTCCTTAATGCAGGAATTAAGGGACACTGCTGGGAGCTCCTGAGACACAGACATAGGCTCAGGGGGTGAAAGGCAGTAGAAAATGCTGGAAGACCTCAGAGCAAACTGCTCCAAAACCAGCAGCCAAATGAGCCATCTGTGCTCTTCAAAAGCTGCTACATTACTTTTGGACAACTAACCAGCAGCCAAATGAGCCATCTGTGCTCTTCAAAAGCTGCTATGTTACTTTTGGACAAATCAGAAAGGAATGGTGGCAGCCTAATAGCTCTGCTCCCACTGTCCTCATGGCATTTTGGGTGTGGATTTAGTTGGGTGTGGAAAAGGAGGAAACTAAGAGGCATCAGCCTTCATCTTTGCATCAGCATGTGATAATTCTGCATTTCTGAACATTAGACAAAAAAGAAACACAAAAAGCCAGATATAAAATTCTTCTGCAAACACATTTGCTACTCATTTTTGACAAACCAATCCACTGTTGTAAACATAGAAAATCAACTTTCTTAGCAGCATATTTGTTGGAGTTTAAACTTAGCTGAATATTTTTTGCAGCCGTAGCAAGATAATATTGAACAGCTAAATAGAAACCTACTGACAAACAACTGAATTTCTGTGCTTGCTAGAATTTATTAACATCTACTTGATTTTACTACATTGTTACAAACCCTAAAATTTACTGAAATATGCACTTACAATATTTATAACTGAGACAGATGGATCAAGCATGGCTCTATGAATACCAACCAAAGTATCATCGTATGTGGGTATTACACATAAACCATTTCATTTTACACATTATGGCCAGATTCAATCTTCACCTGCAAGATGAGACGAGGTGTCACTGAGAGCAGAATCCATTTTTTCTGTACAAAACCCCACCATTACAGCAGACATGAAAACCACATTCTCCATGTTGAGTTTAATAAATATGATAAATCTAAACAATGAAATTAATAAAAGTTGAATCATCAACTTGGTGCAGCTCCTTTGCAATCAGTGAAGTTTTATATAGCTGACTTTTATCAGCTAAACATCTGACCCAGCACATATAAATGAAAAATCACACAGTACAATACAGGGGTGCCCCAAATCCCATGTGCAGGATGGTAAATAAAGAATTTTGAAAGCTCTTTGGCACAGGCAGAACTTACAGTTTATGGCTATACAGTTTATGTATAGCAACAACATACTGAGAGTCCTTTATCACATAGGAAGGCATTTATGACATCCATGACCAGAGCCAGAGACTTTTTCATTCCCATTACAAGTGGAAATCTTCTGGGTCAGCAAAACAGCTAAAAAAATCACAGACCACCAGTTTTCAGAGACAATGTGTCTTCTTCCTGAAGCCCTGACATTAGCAAGCAAGCAGAAGGTGAAGGTGGAGCTGTCAAATGAGACAAGGATTTTCTTAGTGCCACCTCTGCCCTGACATTCACTGAAACCCTCCTGCAGCTTTGATCTTCACCTGCACCAAAAAATTGAGTGTGTCCCATCACACTCCCAGCACTGAAGGCAGCTGGCTTAGCATTGTCTCCATTAAAGTGTCCTTGGCTCTGAAACAGAGCAGCTGTGTGCAAACTATACCCTTACCTACTCAAAATGGCCCTTGGCCATGGGTTTCCTCTCTTTGGGAAGACCACTGGTCACAATAACCCTGGTTTAATGTGACAGAAAATTCTAATGGTTCACTAACATCCACAATGTCACTGCCTGGCTACTTCCCCAGGCATGAGAATGTGCTGGTGTCAGGAGCAGAGAGCTTGCCCAGAGTGGGTATTGAGGAAATTCACACTGTTGGGTCATGGATGCCATTATGCATTTTATGTAGCTTTGAAACATCTAGAGCTATCTGAAAGACAAAAGCCTGCAGCACAGATATGAATGAAGCTGTTTGATATCTGTCCCTCCTTAAACTGACCCTTGGGATAAATTTTCAGATCATCACCTTAAATGCCTGAAAAATGTAATACTGGAACATAAATGAATACAACCACTGCACTTTGCCACCAGACGCATGCTAAAAGGCTTGGTGTTCAGCTCATGCTGAACTGGATCAGATAAAAAGTTTGCTTTCATGTGCATCTTTCCCAAGCAAGTTCTGAGTACATCCATCAGGCAGGTCTGGGCTCCCACAAAATACTTCAGTGGCCACAAATATATTCCCAAAGATAGGGGTGCACAGGGTATATTCACCATAGACAGAGTTACACATAAAAAAAATTATTATTAGGCTTTCCATGGATTCCTGTGGTTAAGGCACCCACCACAAACAGAGAAATAAAGTTCAATTTCCTCTCCTGCTGCCTACTGAGTTATTCATTCTTCTCCTCCCACTTCCTAGCCATTAGGATACTGAGGGAAAGAGCTTCGCTTTGAAGCCGTGTCACAAGCAAAAAAATAAAAATTTGTATTTCAAGAATCAAAAAGAGAGCACAAGCAGAAACAGGAGGGTACAATCTGTTACCTGTGGCACTTCTACAAAACTGGGAGAGCTGCTCGTGTTTCTTGCCTGCAGGGCTCACTCTTTATTTTATATACAGTGACAGCATGAAACCACTGAAGGAGCCCTGGAAGCAGGATGCCAAGCATACAGTACCATTCCTTCCCCACTAAGAAGTGCTTTCACCATCAGGCTATGCAGAGAGACCTTCCTGCACAGCTAAGTCTCATTTATATTGCTCCTGTCACCAACACAGAGTAATTTGTCTCATCCCCAAAGCCCACAGAATACATTAGCAGGGGTGGTGCGGAGGAAGAGGAGAATCTAAAGAAAAGAAAGAGGTAGGAGGCATGTCTTTCCTCCTCAAATTGCTACTCTCTTCTAAATTATAACACCTTGCAGGTAACACAGGCAGAAGTTAAAAAGCTAATAATTCATTATCATGGCAGAGGAAACATATTAAATTCTGTTTTCTTTATACCATGAGCAATATGGACTGAATAGAGGAGACATCTGAGTGCTGCTGTTCTTATGTCTACTAAACCCCACAAGAAGCAGGGAAGGCCACAAGGTTTTTAGTTCTGTGCAAATGAAAAAGCAATCCCTAACACAGGCTGTGATTCAGATAATTGACTTGACAGAAATCATCAGAATAAAAGGGAAGAAACAGGCTCTTGTGAACATTTACAGGCTGGTTTTGCACAGATATGAAGTCCATACTGTTGATGTTTGCCCAAATCCAAAATCTCTGTGTCCATCAGTGGCTACCAAACTAGCCTAGATTCTGTGAAAGATGGTTTCACTTGGGAGTTAGGTGCATGTGAGTACTTCAAAATGTTACACCAGAAATCTTTTGATTACAGAGAAGCTGTTTTTCTCAACAAGAATTTTCTTTCTCTCAACAAGAAATTTTCCCACATGAATTTCTAATTTCATCACCATTTTCAGATTCTTCTGAAAACAGCCTAAAAAACTGTAACCTAAAGGGAAGGGAGAGGTTGCCAAAATTATCTAGCTCAACTTTTTTCATTGCTAGAAGACAGACAATCAGTTTAGTAGGGCAGAGGAGCTCGAGGCTGCAGCTGGGGTATTCTCAATGTGACTGAGGTCCTCTGGGGGTTTACTGTCATACCAGTTCCCTACCAAGTTGAGAAAGGCTGCAGTTCCACTACTTGTGACAACTGTGGCAACAAAGCTTGGGACTATTCATAATAAATTGTTGTTTGATACTTTTTTTAAATGAGTAACATAGAATTAGAATGAAACTCCAAACATTTCTTGCAAATAAAAGAGAAGAATTTGTTTCAGCAACTTAGATATTAGGTGTATGTTTGTAATGAAACCTATGTCCAGTTGAGTGAAATATTTTCATGAGAACTTATAAAGATCTATCAGAGGTGATGGGAAATAATATTTTGTTATCATAATAACACTTGGAAAAGGATGCATGATATTTCTTATTACTGCTGCCAAGGGAGCCCTTTGTTATTTAGTCATCATCATCACTGACAATCTTGTAATGCAAAGTGCAAGACTCGGGAGACCAGGACTAGCAGCAGTAAAAGGCTCTAGTGGGACTGTAGCACTTCACTTAATGAAGTCTTGGGCTTTTACCCCTTTGTTTCACTAAGTCTTCCAAACATTTCCCATTTCCCACTTCCTGCAGAGAAGGCACTAAGCTGCTAGATGGGGTTGCAATAAAGTCACCCAGGGTGAACTTTCTCTTCCAGCCATGCTCAAGCTCTTTTTTATTAAGAGCAGCAAAAACTTCAGGTGAACTAATCTGTTTGAATTCTGAGCTTCTTTAGCTAGAGAGGTCAACCAGATGCGCAGCACAATTGGAACCTCCCGAACAGAAAAAATAGTGCAACAGTAGCATTAATATTTCACAAGTAGTTTAAGGCAAAGGACTAGAAAAATAAAAGATAGTGCTGCATAGAATCTGTAGAAAGAAATCACAAAGATCTTCCTCATCAATAGAGAAATCAGAAAAAAATTTTGAGAGAAGGCTTCAACAGGGTGCCCCGTGAATTAAACTCCTCCTCTAAATTCTCAGTTC